TCTTGCAGGAATATGACTGCCAGTGTTCATGAAGGAGAAGTCCATCATTACACAACCCTTACTGAATGTTGTTTGTTATTATCATAAAGCTGCACAATGGGCTACCTGTGCTATGCCCACCGCGGGTTATCGAAACACAATTGTTTGCGTTACAAGTCCTTACACTTTCCGATGAGCCATTGGATTTTGAACATATTTTTTAAAGTTATCTCTGGTTGTAACATGGAAATTGTCAAGACCGCTGTAAGGAATCCACGGCGGTCTTTTTTTTCGTTTCTATAAACTGATGAGAAGACGATAGTATTCAGATTTATTTAGTTGATACCGATGTCTCCCAGGAAGTTCGGAAAATTGTTGAGTTTCTTGCTCATCAAAACTGCTTTCAAATACGTTTATATAACTACATTTATTTTTACATACATCCCCAAAATGTTCATTCATTCACACACGACAAGTAAACAAGAAAAATTGAAGAGGGGTGTGGCTCAAAAACTTTAACCGACGGCTATTTCCTTGTCAGACTGGAAGACGGATCCAGATGAGATGGGGGGGGGGGGGGGGTGATAAAGAAAGCCTTCTCGCCGACCTCTATATTGAACTGGAAATCACTGCCAATAAAGCCCCAGAAGCACAGGCGAATCAAGGCATTATTCAAATTTCCAATAAAAGTTGTATTTAAAACTATATTTGTAATATATATATTTAATAAATGAGTGCAATCTAGGGTTTCACTTGCGCACCCCCCACCCCCCTTAAACTATTTGCAAAAACCACATGTAGCAGCCGAATAATCCAATCAGGCGAAACACCACTTTCTTTTTAAGTTTCCAAATGAGGTGCAAATATAAAAATGTGGCTTTGGTTATGTACATATCTTTTGTTTCAAGTATTGTTATTAGTTGATGATCGGTATATGGATTTAGTGCCTAGTGGTTTTTCTACGTCAATTCCGAGATACAGCCCGTGCGTTCGTCTGTACGCACGTGTTACAGACGTACAGTAGCGACTTATTAAAGGCACGAGTTCCAAACTTTTTAAACCTCTCTTCTCTTATATATTTCAAGAAACATAATTAAAAGTATGCGTGCAGGAAAATTAAATATTCTCTTATGGAACACACACACACACATGGTTGACAGAAGCAGGTATTCGACAGGACTAAGTCACGCGTGGGGTAATATGGCACGACAAAAGGTCAAACGACAGCTCCAACTTCTTTTGATTTCAGTCGTTAGTCATCAATTAATTACTGCAGGGATTACCGACCACCAGAAAGTATGTAAGCGCACACGTATAACCAGAGTCACTATTGGACACGAAAAATTCGGGGTTTAAACTACGCTGATTGAACCCCTCACTTCATACAAAATTCCTTTTGAGCTATGTTCTGTGTAGCACAGTTGTCTACGGTTACGCTGTCGTACCGAATCAATAACGTGTCTTATGTACAATCCACAAAATAATCCAACTAAAACAGTAGGCGCAACGGTGAATTCTACTTTAAAACTGTAAATCTACGTCACGGACGTCCAAACATCCACCGCCCATCCGTCCGTTCGTTCTTCATCTTTACTAAGAAATATGGACCTATCTTCCAGAAAAATCTCCAATCATCAGCATTGTTTGTTTTTTTTTAAGTCGCGGTTTCTAATTCATTAATAGTATTGATATTTTCAATCTGAAAATGCACCATGTATTCACGAGCTAAATGGACAGCTCAGATAACCTTAGGGTGCTGCTATACCCTAGTTGTAAGCTACTGGTTTAAGAGAAGCCAGCCAGTCAGCAGCAATTACCGCTGCAAAAGCTTTGAACTGAATAACAGGTTTGACTGTCACTCTTAAAACTCGCCCAAGGTGGAAGTGCAGAGAATGTTTAGTGAAAGTTGGACCTTTCGATCCCCAACCCTGTACGCTAACCCCTGCCCTATATTTTTGTAATCTTTCTTGATTCCCTAAGACAGTGCTTCACACAAACATATATTCATGTTGGGTATTTAAGTAAGGTAACGGGAAGTTTTTTTTCATTCGACTTGCAGCCAATGAGACGTCAGTTATTGAACTTTGAACTCAAGTGTATCGAGGAGACCCGCTCTGTAAAGTTCCACCTTTGTGTCAGCCATCAACACCATATTAAATACGCGGGAAAACTTCGCCACTAATTAGTGAGATTAATTACCGTATTAATGGCTCGTTCGAGTACCTCGATAGGTCAGCTCCAAAATTTGGAGTTCGATTTCGTGTGGTGGGCAGAGTGCAGATAGCCCATTGCGTAACTTTGCGTTAAAACGACGACAACAGCGAAATATAATACATTAGGGTCCCTGAAACCAACGATGACATGGATCCACAACCAAGTAGGTGTATAAACAGTTCATAAAAATGTGTTGAGAAATCCAATGCGTCCATGTATCGTCGATAATTTTAGGGTTAACGTTACTAAAAAGTTTTTTAACATAATACATTCGAATACCGCACATGTCATTCACCACCTCTCACCATTTTTTTTTTTTCAATATAAAGAATCCCCTGCGAACCACAAGGATTTAGATTCAACACAATTGTTAAAACGGATTTTTAGACAGCTGTTAATATGAAACAAAATTGACAGAGCAAAAGTGATGCAGACGTTAACAATTTACGCCATTTGTTAGAGCTGGATGTTTGCATTCAAAACTGTCAAATACAAGGAAACCCCATCGGGTGAAAACGTAGAAATATTACAGCATAAACTACAGCAAGTTACAGAGTGAGCGTTAAAATGGATCTTGACCATTTTTATGTCACAAATCCAATAAATAACATGGGCTGTGATATCAAAGGATATTCAAGGAAAACCAAGGATATTCGCTGTGATATCAAAGGATATTAAGTACTGACGGTTTTGTGTAAATTTTGAGCTTTCACAAATATATATTTATTACAGAAAAATGTATTTCAAATGCGTGGGTATTTTTTGTGTTTTGTATCTATGGCAAAGCTACTAAGGCTATCTATCTATCGCTGTTCTTAATTCTCGACTACTGACCAAAAGGGGGAAAAAAAATCAGTCAGTTGCATCTTAAAACCCACCATCCGCTCTACAGGATTGACTGCCGCTTAAAACGCGCAGGATATTTTGTGGTAAACGCACGGATTCGAGTTCGGTTCGCCAGCTCTGAAAGCCGGAAATCTACTAAAGAACCAGCCCATACCAGCTTTATTACTACGTATTTTGTTGAGAAGAGGCTTTGATCTATCACAGTTCAATCATTATCCTTTAAAACAGCCAAAAAAAAAACAAACAAAAACAACGCATGCATATGGGTCGATGTTAAGGTTACACAATTAAACATGATGATACCTGCTTAACTCCGATGGAACGTCGAACTCTCGTGCAAGCACGTTCTTTTATATATTGTCTTTGGTTATTTTAAAACCTTTTTTTTAACTTCCTCTAGGACTTCCAGTGTTACGACATAAGTTTACAACTAAGTTCATTGAGTCGATAATGAGAAAACTATACATTTATTGATATATCTATAAGACAGTGTCTAATAACGACAGTACTGATTTTATTTTGTAATACAATATGCCTGTACGTTTCATAAGAAAACAATTTTAATGACTCGAAACCACTGATTTATTTTTAATTGAGAAGCACGAACATGAATGATTCTGCCAGAAAATACAGATGCGCCACCTCAATTTTTGTACTTACCAAATTAAGGGATCGTTTCAGTAAATACTTTTGTATCACCATTTTTGTATTTACCAAGTTAAGGGATCGTTTCAGGAAATATTGTTGTATCACTATTTTTGTATAAATAATAATAAGATCGCAATTAAACGAACACCGGAAAATTGAATAAAAAAACAAAACAAATTAAATATGATACATTCATATTAGACATCTGATTATAATCACACGGTCATGAATGATTTGCTTTACGATAACAGCGAAGATTTACAAAATGTCCAAGAAACCCTAAGTTTTGATTTGACACAGTGGTTTGGATACCCAAGCAACCGTAACGTCTTTTCCGCGTCTAAATGGATCTGGTACAAACAACCGTAACGTCTAAATGGATCTGGTACAAACAACCGTAACGTCTAAATGGATCTGGTACAAACTTAACACTCTTACTTTACTGTTGCAAGTTTGTTTTTTTTCTTTTGTTAAGTACAAAAATAGTGGTGCATCTGTATTTTCTGGAACGATCCCTTAATTGGGTATTGTACAAAAATAGTGATACAACAATATTTCCTGAAACGATCCCTTAATTTGGTAAGTACAAAAATAGTGGTGCATCTGTATTTTCTGGAACGATCCCTTAATTTGGTAAATACAAAAATAGTGATACAAAAGTATTTACTGAAACGATCCCTTAATTTGGTAAACTGATATTCTAACCACACTTTCATATGTTTCTTATACACAATAGCGCTTCATCGCATTTTCTAAATGCTGTTCTGATCACAGATTTTGGTGTTTATCGATGCTATAATTGCTCATTCTGATGTTTAACTCCATTCTATCAGACTTATTGGTGTTAATCGATGTTCTGAACTAATGTCCTCATGTTTAATGTTGTTTCGAAAATATTTTCGGTGTTTAAGGGCATTCTTCTAATCAAAGTTGCTGGTGTTAACTGGTCTTCTAATCACATACACGCTGTTTAATGGTGTTCAAACAAATATCCTGCCACATAAGTGTTATATTTACATCTCCTTCTATCCAGTGTTGTTTTCCAATAAAATCTGTTGGTGTTTAGTGATATTAAGTCACATTTACTGGTGTTTACTAATGTTCTAATTACATTTCTTGCTGTTTAAAAGATATCTTAATCATACCTACTCGTGTTAAATGGTGTTCGAATCGTATTTACCGATTTTCTTATCAAACTTATTAATGTTTAAAACGGTCCTCAACTTTGGTTGATGAGGAGTCCTTTTTTTTTTAATGATGTGTATATCTTATAGTACTAGATTTACTTAACACACTTGGAAATGAGGACTCACCTTCTCAAAACTCCTCCTAATAACGAAGCGTTGAGGCACTCCGGTGGAGATAATCGGCGTTGGACCTCTCCAACAGTCACTTTGTACTTGGATGTTGAGCTGAGCAAGGACAAGCGGCCTGGCACCGAGCAGAACACATCCGTGGGTGAGGTGACACCTGTAATGACCATTTCCCTGCAGTTGTCACTGTGTCTCGGTTTGATGCCTGTTAGAAGGAGAGACGGAGGGAACACGGGGTACGTCAACCGACCTGAGTGAATCCCCCAATATTTCAGAGGAAGAGCAAGAAAGAAAGTTCCAAGTAACCGGATATTAGAGACAAGAGAACACCGGAACCAGAAGGAAGTGAAAGAAAAGGAAGGAAGGAAGTTATAATCGAAAAGGGAGGAAGGAATAGTTATAATCAGTGTTAATAGAAGCGATTTTGGAGAAAAAATATCATTTTTTACCTCCAGTCTCAATTTCCAAACTTTATCAACACTTAGTGTAATTTTAAGGGCAGATTTGGCCATAAAGGGGTTACACTGAAATCTCCAACTCAAAACAGGTCTTCTATTCTTTTATGGGTAATGGTCCAGAAAGATCTGGATGTGTGCCAATGTAAAATAACACTAACATAAATTGTTTGCATAAATATACACAAAGAGCTATCTACGCATAGCCGTCCCTAACTCTGAACCAACAGATTAGAAAGAAGGCATCTAGTCAACAAGACCCACCGCCAACTTTTGGGCGACTTTTGACTGAATTTGGGGATTTGACCGCCATTCTTTTAAAGCACCCACTGTCTATAATGTGAAGGTCGTTTTTACAGCAACGAGCCACGAACATTGGACCCTCGGATTCACAATACGAGCACGCTCTCCAAAACAAGTGATTCAAGGAATACGTTGGCAATGTCAGGTACGTAAGTTTCAAATGAAATGTATACTCAAAGCCCGGTTTCTATTTTGTTTGTTTGTTTGTTAAGGAGATATTAAACTGTCCAGTTGGTCTGTCACTTTAAAATGAAGTAGAGCCTGGCGTGGTCGAGTATGTAGTGAACCCGAATGTGAATCCTAGGGTCCATGGTTTGCATCCCATAATCTCAAAATTGCGCCCCGCCTTTTGGGGCCGTGGGTGCGTTACTCGATCAGAGGTAGCCCAAGAGTTGATAAGTACCTCATACTGATCTACATGTCCAGAATTTTGGACTGGCTAGTCTAGATAGCCTTTGTGTGGCAATGCTCGAATATCCAAAACAAACAAATAAATAAATACAAGTTTAGACGACAATTAAGAAAAATAAGGGAAAATATCACAAGTGTTAACATTTATATTGTTTACTGATTATTCAGAGTTCGTTACTATTGTAAAAATTAAATATAAATAAACTGGTAAGAAATTGCATTAAACTAGTGTTTGATCTTATAGTAGCACGTTATGAAAAGAAGATCAGTAATACAAAAAATGTCTACCTTTAAAACTTTGTGACACAGTGAAAGCTTTATGTAGGGAACACGTGCTTTAACGTACCTTTTCTTATAACACTGTTGTGGTCGCCTCCGAATATGTTATTCGCATCTTCAACTCCTGTGGTCTATGATAAGACAAAACCCACAAACAATTAAACATTATTCATAATTGGTAAAATTATAGCTATGACAAGACAAAACCTACACACAATTAAACAATCTTGATTGGTAAAATTATAGCTATGACAAGACAAAACCTACACACAATTAAACAATCTTGATTGGTAAAATTATAGCTATGACAAGACAAAACCTACACACAATTAAACAATCTTAATTGGTAAAATTATAGCTATGACAAGACAAAACCTACACACAATTAAACAATCTTAATTGCTAAAATTATAGCTATGACAAGACAAAACCTACACACAATTAAACAATCTTAATTGGTAAAATTATAGCTATGACAAGACAAAACCTACACACAATTAAACAATCTTGATTGGTAAAATTATAGCTATGACAAGACAAAACCTACACACAATTAAACAATCTTAATTAGTAAAATTATAGCTATGACAAGACAAAACCTACACACAATTAAACAATCTTGATTGGTAAAATTATAGCTATGACAAGACAAAACCTACACACAATTAAACAATCTTGATTGGTAAAATTATAGCTATGACAAGGTTATAAAATAATGTCAACCACGTCAATGAATATTTTTTTTACAAATCAGGCATCTGCGTAGCATTTATGTGATATTACAAGCGAATGTGTGATCATTCAGCCTATCCATTATTTAGTGATCTTACACAACACAATATCGTCTTCGCTGTCCATTAAAGGGTTTAAATGCTCCAAGTTGTTTATTAAAAGTGGCCAGAACTCAAGAAGACGCCATGTTTCACTAATGTAGAGTGTCATCAGACAAGTGGAAGCCAGCCAATCACAGAAGGTTGTTGCGAACTGGATAAAAGTGTCTCAAACTGTCATTGTCAGATGTGGAACCACTTCCAAACTAATGCTACAGTTGCTCGAACACCTTGCGATTTGGCTTCGAGTGTTTCAAACTGTCATATCAGAATGTGGAACCACTTCCAAACTAATGCTACAGTTGCTCGAACACCTTGCGATTTGGCGTCGAGTGTTTCAAAGTGTCACACCAAAATGTGGAACCGCTTCCAAACTAATGCTACAGTTGCTCGAACACCTTGCGATTTGGCTTTGAGTGTCTCAAAGTGTCATATCGGAATGTGGAACCCCTTCCAAACTAATGCTACAGTTGCTCGAACACCTTGCGATTTGGCTTCGAGTGTTTCAAAGTGTCATATCAGATGTGGAACCACTTCCAAACTAATGCTACAGTTGCTCGAACACCTTGCGATTTGGCTTCGAGTGTTTCAAAGTGTCATACCAAAATGTGGAACCGCTTCTAAACTAATGCTACAGTTGCTCGAACACCTTGCGATTTGGCTTTGAGTGTCTCAAAGTGTCATATCGTAATGTGGAACCGCTACGAAATCAATGACAAAATTTTTTGGACACTATCCACAACTGAAGTAGATGACTGCTGTTAACTACCAGTTCTAACTTGTCTCAGTCGTATGGTTACCAGAAGTTAACCAAATGTTTTAACAGTTGTTTTACCTTGCCAAGTTTGTGTTATTCTCTTGTTGTTTTGTGCAGTGTTTCTATCTACCCAATATTTCTTTACTACGTGCAGGAATAAACTTCAAAAACGAACACTTATCTAGACCGAGCACAACTTTAAACTTTGTCCTGAAAAACAACACAGATATAAATGGGAGTTGGCTTTCAATATTTTATAATTTTCAAGTTATAATTTTATTTATTTTTAATCAACAACAACAAAAAAATAAAATTCTAAGTCGTATTATTATGTTCGAGGACTAGACATTACCAGTGTGATCCTAATTGAATATGTTAAAAAAACAAACAGGATTTGGGAAACAAAACAGTTAGTTGTGTTTTTAGATCTTCGATATTGATTATAACATTTTTTAGTGATATAAGTGTACAACACCATGTTTCTATTTCTGTCATAGAGCCAGGAAAGAGTTGACAAATATGGATCCCAAAAGTCCCCAGCAACCCCAACTATGGATCTCAGTAATCACAGAGACAGCTCCCAGTAACCACAACTGTAATTCTTAATAAACGTAACACTTCCCAGTACTTACAGCTACGGACCTCAGTGATCACAACAGTTACAGTTCTCACAGCTATGGATCTCAGTGATCATAGACACAGCTCCCAGTAACCACAACTATGGTTCTCAGTGATCACAGAGACAGCTCCCAGTAACTACAACTATGCTGTATAATTCTTAGTAACCACAACTATGGTTCTCAGTGATCATGGAGACAGTTACCAGTGTTTGATATACAAGACTGTTTAGTGTAGGCGTTATTATCCAATTTATTTTGTGAGTTAATAATTAATGACTATTTAGTTTTTCATAACAAGAGAGTTAAAAGTTAATCATCTTAAAGGCGATAGTTATGAGAAGTTTAGTTACGTAACTCAGTAAGAGTCGTACGTTGTGTTTGCAATTCATTGTTGTCGAGGCTTTACTAATAATGTTGAAGTCACACTACTCGATTTTCGTTTATTTTTCGAGGCCTCAGTGAATAAGCTATTTATTTAAGTGGTTCGCGAGCGCAAGTTAAGAATAACGAAAGATGCAAAGTCAAGTGAAGTGTAAAGTAGAAATAGAGAAAAGTTACAAAACGTGAAGTTAGCTGGCGTGTGAGTGATTAACCTTAAAAGTTGGTATTTTAAAGTGAGTTTGACAGTTTAATAGAGATAAGGAGAATAATTTGTCTTATCAAAGTGTGTTCTAAAGTAATTGAACCAGCCTGTATGGACTTTGACGAAAAGGAGACAATTATTTAAGGTTCAGGATACAACTGTGGTAACCCACGACATAACGTAAGTGAATTATTCAATAATAATATCATGATAAAAGTAGGGGAAAATAGTTCATCTTGCAATTGGATTCTAGAGTAATTGATTCAGCCTAAGTGAACCCTTGACAAAAAAAAGGAGAGAATTATTTAGAGTTTGAGATACAACTGTGATATCCATAGTGTAAAACATTTTTGTACATAGTTTGACCTCCAGAGATGTGGTTACTGGGAGTTTTTGTGATCACTGGGATCCAGAGTTGTGGTTACTGGGAGCTGTTGTGATCACTGAGATCCATGATTGTGGTTACTGAGATTTATACAACATAATTGTGGTTACTGGGAGATGTTGTGATCACTGAGATCCATAGTTGTGGTTACTAAGATTTATACAACATAGTTGTGGTTACTGGGAGCTGTTGTGATCACTGAGATCCATGATTGTGGTTACTAAGATTTATACAACATAGTTGTGGTTACTGGTAGCTGTCTCTATGATCTATGAGATTCGTAGTTGTGTTTACTGGGAGATGCTGTGATCACTAAGATCCAGAGTTGTGGTTACTGGGAGCTGTTGTGATCACTGAGATCCATAGTTGTGGTTACTAAGATTTATACAACATAGTTGTGGTTACTGGGAGATGTTGTGATCACTGAAAACCATAGCTTTGGTTACTGGGAGATGTTGTGATCATTGAGAGCCATAGTTCTGTTACTGTGAACTGTTGTTATCAGTTAGCTGCATAGCTGTGGTTGCTAAGAACCACACAACATGGTTGTGGTTAGTTGGAGCTGTTGTGATCGCTGGTAATCATAGTTGTGTTGACTGAGAGCTGTTCTGATTACTGAGAACCATAATTGTAATCACTGTGAACTGTTGTGATCACTGAAATCCATAGTTGTGATTACTAAGAATTATACGAATGTAGTTGTGGTTACTGGTTGTCAGGGTCTTATGTATATATATGAGCTGAGGATTCTTTTACAGTAGGTGGCTGTGACTTGTTGGCGATAAATTCGAAAATAGACGGGCAGCACACAGTCCACTTGTTTTAAAATATTATATTCAAAAGAACTCAGTCATCAAAACATCTTCCAGTAACCACAACTATGGTTATCCGTGATCACAACATCTCCCAGAAACCACAACTATGGTTCTCAGTGATCACAACATCTCCCAGTAACCACAACTATGGTTCTCAGTGATCACAACATCTCCCAGTAACCACAACTCTGGATCTCAGTGATCACAACATCTCCCAGTAACCATAACTCTGGATCTCAGTGATCACAGCATCTCCCAGTAAACACAACTACGAATCTCATTGATCATAGAGACAGCTACCAGTAACCACAACTATGTTGTATAAATCTTAGTAACCACAATCATGGATCCCAGTGATCACAACATCTCCCAGTAACCAAAGCTATGGTTTTCAGTGATCACAACAGCTCCCAGCAACCACAGCTCTGGATCTTAGTGATCACAGCATCTCCCAGTAAACACAACTACGAATCTCATAGATCACAACATCTCCCAGTAACCACAACTATGTTGCATAAATCTTAGTAACCACAATCACGGATCTCAGTAATCACAACAGCTCCCAGTAACCACAACTCTGGATCTCAGTGATCACAACATCTCCCAGTAAACACAACTATGGATCTCAGTGATCACAACATCTCCCAGTAACCACAACTATGTTGCATAAATCTTAGTAACCACAATCACGGATCTCAGTGATCACAACAGCTCCCAGTAACCACAACTCTGGATCTCAGTGATCACAACATCTCCCAGTAAACACAACTCTGGATCTCAGTGATCACAACATCTCCCAGTAACCACAACTATGGTTCTCCGCGATCACAACATCTCCCAGTAACCACAACTATGGTTCTCAGTGATCAAAACATCTTCCAGTAACC